GTGGTGGATTTTACTTTAAAGTCTATTTTGTCAGAGATTAATATTGCCACTCCTGCTCTTTTTTGAGTGTTGTTTGCTTGATATATTTTTTCCGTTGTTTGAGACTTAGTTTGTGTCTTTAAGTCTAAGGTGTGTCTCTTGTAGGGAGCATATAGACGGATCATGTTTTTTTAACAAGTCTGTCACTCTGTCTCTTTATTGGTGCATTTAGCCCATTTACATTCAGCATAATTATTGATAGGTATGAGTTTAGTGCTGTCATTTTGATGTCTTTTTTGTGTGTGTTGTTCACAGGTTTCTTTGTTCCACTTAATTTTCTGTGCTGAGGCATTTTTCTTTATGTATTTTCTTTTCATCTTTTTCATTGTTGTTGATTTTGTGTTTGCTGAGTCTTTATATTTTTCTAGTTTTTTATTTTGAATTGTAGGATTGTTAGTTTCCTTTGTGGTTACCTTAATATTTACCACTATTTTTCTAAGTTTATACCTGTCTTTTATTTCTTTATATTGCCTTGACTTCCTCTCCAAATGAAAAATCTATGTCTACATTTTTTAAGTCCCTCCTTTTTGTTTTAATGTCGTCATGTTTTACATATTGACATCTGTTTCCCTATTTTCAGTGTTTTAGCTTTGGTTTACTTTTGTGACTTCCCTATCTGGGTTGATGTCTGGTTGCTCTGTCCTGTGTTCTAGTCTTGGGTTGTTAGCTGATGTTACTGATTTTCTAACCGGAGGACTCCCTTTAGTATTTCATGTAATTTTGATTTGGTTTTTGCTAATTCCCTAAACTTCTGTTTATCTGGAAATGCCCCAATTTTGTCATCATATTTGAGAGACAGTTTTGCTGGATATATAATTCTTAGCTGGCAGTTTTTTTTCCTTCAAGGCTTTATATATGTCATCCCATTGCCTTCTTGCCTGCATGGTTTCTGCTGAGTAGTCCCACTTATTCTTATTGACTCTCCTTTGTAGATGACTTTTCATTTATCCCTAGGCACTCTTAAAATTCTCTCTTTATCTTTGGTTTGGGCAAGTTTGAATATAATATGTCTTGGTGACTTTCTTTTGGGATCTACCTTATGTGGGGTTCAATGAGCATCTTGGTTAGATAGCTTGTCATGTTTCATGATATCAGGGAAGTTTTCTGCCAACAAATCTTCAACAATTCTCTCTGTATTTTCTGTTTTCCCCCCTGTTCTGGTACTCCAATCACTTGTAGGTTATTCCTCTTGATAGAGTCCCACATAATTCTTAGGGTTTCTTCATTTTTTTAAAATCCTTTTGTCTGATTTTTCCTCAAATAAGTTGGTGTCAAGTGCTTTATCTTCAATCTCACTAATTCTGACTTGCATTGCCTCAATTCTGCCCCTATGACTTTCTATTGAGTTGTCTAATTCTGAAATTTTATTGTTAATGTTCTGGATTTCTGATTGCTGTCTCTCTATGGATTCTTGCAGCCTGTTAAATTTGTCATTATGCTCTTCTCTAATCTTTTTAATTTCCTCTATTGCATTTTCTGCATTTTGCTTAATTTCCTTCCTCATTTCTTGAAGAGTTCTGTATGTTAATCTTTTGTATTCTGCCTCTGGTAATTCCAAGAAATTTTCCTCCTCTGGAAAATTTCTAGATTCTTTAGTTGAAGTTAGGGTTCTGGTATATACCCTGTTGTACTGTGGTAATGAGGGCCTATGCTGTTGAGATGGGCCCACACAAGTCTACACAGGGGGAAAGGCATTCAAAGTCCGTGGATTCCTTGTGCCTGTGGCTAGGCAAAGGAGCTGTGCCTACCCTGGGTTCCTGGCTTAAGGGAGCCGGCAGTTTATTTTTTCCCTGTTTGTTAATTTGTTCACTCTCCAAGTCAGGGAGAATGCCTCCGGGTGTGTGACGGATCCTACTTTCAGCCCAGGGGACTCGGCAATTGCTGAAGCTGGTCTGGGACCCAGTGCAGAGCAGGGAGCGGGGAGGTAAATGGGAGAGAGGTTTTTCCCTAAGGGGGGTGTTTTTTATCTGTGCCACAGGCCGTACACAATTACTTACCATTCACCTGATCGAGGGCTGCTTCTCACTGGTTCTGGGTGGCCGTGTAGACTCTCAGTGGCTTGGTCTCTCCCAGTGAAGAATGCACACCTCCCGAGCATGGCTGCTTGCCTGCCTCAGCGCTCACCCCCGAGCTGATCAGGCCTGAAGGGCTCAGGCTCTCGCCAGGTCAGGTCTGGCAGCTCTTCGCTGCTTCTGAACTGTCTCTCCCTCCCCCACTACTCAGTCCGGTTCCTCAACTCTGCCTTTGATGTTCAGGGCTCCCAGATTGCCATATATAATCGAATTGGGTCTTTGTTATGAAAGGGTCCACCAGAAGCGTCTGACTACTCCGCCATCTTGGCCCTGCTCTCCTGTTGTTCCCATTTTACAGATTTGAGGAGCTGACACCCCAAGAGTCCTGTGAACCACTGATGGCCACCCAACCATCCCTGGGCACATTTGCATTAAGGGGCTGAGTCCTTACAGCAAGGCTTCTTGTTTGAAATCCAAGAGAACACTAGATAAAGGGCATTCTAAATATATTTCTTTTCTATAGATGCTGATCTATTACTGGAAAACAGGAATTAGCTTGTCTGTTTGAGGATGTGGTTGGCTCTTTATAAAAAGGATATAGAAGAAATTTGCACATAGACTGCCAGCTTCATTATGCTGCCAACAGCTTCCAGCAAAAGAAGAACGTTTGCAGCCAGATGTTTCGGTAAGAATTTTATTTTATTCTATGGGTAACAATTACCTTTGCACTTGACTTCTGCATGCCTGAGGGATGGAGTCACTTGGGGCCACCCGAAAGTTCGTTCTTGGTCCAGTAGGCAGAGACTGCGTCATGGCTGGCCCGAGCAAGGCACAGGAGTCCATGGTCAGGACCCAGCCCTCCTCTATAGGGTCGCCTGAACTGGGACAGCTATTCTGTGCTGCCTGGAAAACAGGCTTCATTGCGACTGCAAATGTCAGGAGGACCTTGGCTCAAGTGACTGAGGGCCCTGGTCACATGCAGAGTCTGCAAGGATCACAGTGCCCACAGGACCACAGGTACGCTAGGCAAGTTCCTCATAGGGGCCAGCTTGTGAGTTGTAAGGCTAGCCTACATCCATGCTTGGAAAAAAACCAACCAAGTAGTTAATGGAGCAACGATGAGGGCAGTTAAACAGCCCCCACTAAAGTGCTGGTTAATGATTGTTAGACAACTAGAAGACGACCATCTGTTTGGATCACCTGTGTTAAAATAATCAAAACTCAAAGAAATTGAAACGTAAGGTTTATTCTGAGCAGTTATTCTGTATGCATATAGGGAGACCTTCTGATTAAAAAAAAAAAAGCAAATGGTTCAAAGTAGGCTAGTCATACAAAGCATATAAAGAGAAGAGGAGAGAGAAAAATAGAAGATCAACCACTGGCTAACCTTAAGTGATTGATTGAACCCTGCCCTCCCCTTTTTACTGAGATGAGCTGATATCAAGTCACAAGGTGGTCTCTGATCTGCCTACTAAAAATTGGCCCTCCACCACCTGCAGCCCTGAGACCTTCTGAAATTGAAATTAAGTAAGCCTAGGGTCTTTCTTCCGAACCCTCATGGCGCTGTGGTTAAGCACTTGGCTGTTAACTGAAAGGTTGGTGGTTTGAACACACCAGCTGCTGTGCAGGAGAAAGATGTGGCGATCTGTTTCTGTGAAGATTACAGCCTTGGAAACCCTGTGGGGCCGTTCTACTCTATAGGGTCACTGTGAGTCGCCATTGACTCGACGGCAGTGGGATTTTTGGATTTAGAGACTTTTTCATTAAATCATGAGGTAATAGTTTTGTTATTGACTATCCTTTTCTAACAGGAAAAGACAAATTTACATGGCTGTAGAGCAGCTTCTGATGGAAAGGATAAATCAGTGCCTTTGCAGTTTGGGTCTGGTTTTTTTATGGTTAATAATTGGTTTTGTGGATAAAAAAAAAAAACCTTAAAATCAAAGTAAGATGTCTGTTATTAATTTTTCTCTTTGGCACAGTTTTGCTGGGTGGGCTGGTTGTGTAATGATGTTGCATTGTTTGAACCCGGGCACCGTTCGGGCTAGTGAGGATTGAAACCTCAGATGCTAGTAGGAGAAACAAGTCTGTGGTCCGCAACCTGGCTACGCCTTAGAAGCCCGGAGGGGTTTCTAAACTGCCCAGGCTCCACCTCCAGAGATGCTGACTGAATCGGCCCAGGGAGTGGGGGCCCAGACGTGAGCGTGTTTTTAACTCCCAGGTGAATCTCACATGCAGCCAGTGAGACATCCGAGCCCTACCTTTTATGTGATCTGAGTGGGTCTTTGTGGGGATCAAAAAGAACGGGGTGGGCTGGAAGCCAGGATGCCTGGCTGGACACTTGCTTCGAGGAGCCGCTCAGATTGAGCTTTGACTTCACTCAGTCCTTATGCATCGGGGATCTGTGAAATCTCTAGGTACTTTCCTCTGAGCTGAGCTGACAGTGCCATCCAGTTTGAAGAGGAATGTTCACTTGCAGATTTCCGCAGTGGAGCAGCTGTTGCCTGGCTTCAGAGTAAAGACGCAAATCCTTTGAAAAAGGGACAAATGAGATATTGTATGAGATACCTGCTGTCTTAGTTTCTTAGTGCTGCTGTAACACAAATACCACAAGTGGGTGGCTATAACGAACAGAAATGTATTTTCTCACAGTTTAGGAAGCTAGAAGTCTGAATTCAGAGCGCCAGCTGTAGGGGAAGGCTCTCTCTGTCTCTTCTGGGAGAAAATCCTTGTCTCAGCCCCTCTAGTGTTCTTCTCGGTGTTCCTTGGAGATCTCCACTTGGCATCTCTCTTTCCCCCATTTGTGCTTGCCTCTCCCTGTGCCTAATCTGCTCTTTTATAACTCAGAAGTGATTAGGTCTAAAACACACCCTACACGGATATAGCCTCATTAACATAACAAAGAACCCCTATTGCCAAATGAGATTACATCCACAGGTGTAGGGATTAGTGTTCCAATACATATTTTGCAGGGGACACAATGCAATCCATAACACCTAAATTGAAAGGATTCGATTGAATTCATTTTTCAATGATTGTCTTGGTCACAAACATCTTGGCAGCTTTGTGAACATGGGTTGGCAGCGCCTTTCCCCAGAAAGCTTCAGAAAGGAAAGGAGGGTCACCCAGCCCAGGGGAGGCCTTCTCCCCATCTTCACCTCTCTCAGTCATCTCTTCTGTTTGTTTCCGAGCGTCTCTGTCTCCTTTGTTCCCATCTGTCTGTCTCTCTCTCTTGCCACACAGCCATACACAGAAGCTGGAGGAGATCACTGGGGAATTTGGGCTTGCTTTTAACCGAAATCTTCAGGGAATCGGGGCACATAGAAAATTCTTTGGGATTAAATCATGCTGCTGTGCTTCACTTTATTAAAAAAGAAATAGAGCTTCTGTAGAATAAAGAAGAGTTTTATTCAGATTCAAAGATTTGCAAATCGTGAAGCGGCAAAATGAAAGTTCAAAATGGCATTCTGAAGAGGGAGCATAAGCACACATCCTTTATACTCAGTTGTGCAGAACTCTGTACAGAGTTAGAAAAGAGTATGGGGGTACATTTGATTGGTTTATATTCAGCATGCTCTGTCAGACTCATTTACCAAGAATTTCTATTGACTAGGGTACTCAACTTTAGCCTCAGTCTCCTGCATTCCAGCCAGAGCTGGTTCCTGCAACAATCTGGGTGGGCCAACTCAGAATGTTGCAGAACAAGTTATTTTGATCAAGAGTGTAGTCATGGATCACATACTCTAAAAGCAGAAGCAAGGGCCTAGGACAAAATGGAGTCCGATTCAGACCTGTGTCAGTCATTTTAGTTATGTCAAGTGCCTCAGTTTTAGAGTGCTCTTTCACACTTCCCTCTTCTGATCGTGAATCTCCATTGAGATTCCTTGATCACCATCATAAGAGCATTTTCTTTTGCATGGACTTCTCATTGGATTGATCTTTTTATAAGCTGAATCTAATTTTTAACATTTCTATCACCCCAGAAAGTTCCCTCATGCCCATTTGCCGTCTATCCCCACTCCCATCCCCAGCCCAAGGAAACGTTGATCTGCTATCTATAAACTTGCCTTCTCTGGATATTTCTATAAATGGAGACATAGAATATGCACTCTTTTCAGTCAGGCTTCTCTCATTTAGCATAAGGTTTTTGAGGTACTAGTAGTTTGTTCCTTTTTACTGCTAAATAATATTCCATACTGTGATATACATTTTGTTTATCCATTCACCAATTGATGAACATATGCTTTCATTTCTCATATGGTAAGTTTATGTTCAACTTTTTAAGAAACTGCCAAAATATTTTCCAAAGTATCTGTAGTATTTTACACTACCATCAGCATTGTATGGGGACTCCAACTTCTCCAAGTCCTGGCCAATAGTTGTTATTGTTTGTCTTTTTTATTATAACCATCCTTGTGGGTATAAAGTGGCATCTCATTGTGATTTTGATTTGCCTTTCCCTAATGACTTGAAGCACTTACTGATGAAGATCAAAGACCACAGCCTTCAGATGGATTACACCTCAACATAAAGAAAACAAAAATCCTCACAACTGGATCAATAAGCAACATCATGCTAAATGGAGAAAAGACTGAAGTTGTCAAAGATTTCATTTTCCTTGGATCCACAGTCAACACCCATGGAAGCAGCAGTGAAGAAATCAAAAGACGCATTGCATTGGGCAAATCTGCTGCAAGAGACCTCTTTAAAGTGTTGAAAAGCAAAGATGTCAAGGTATGCCTGACCCCAAGACATGGTGTTTTCAGTCACCTCATATGCATGCGAAAGCTGGACTATGAATGAGGAAGACCGAAAAAGAACTGGCGCCTTTGAATTGTGGTGTTGGTGAAGAATATTGAATATACCATGGACTGCCAAAAGAATGAACACATGTGTCTTGGAGGAAGTACAACCAGAATGCTCCTTAGAAGGAAGGATGGCGAGACTGCATCTCACATACTCTGGACATGCTGTCAAGAGGGATCAGTCCCTGGAGAAGGACAACATGCTTGGTAAAGTAGAGGGTCAGCAAAAAAGAGAAAGACCCTCAATGAGATGGATTGACACAGTGGCTGCAACAATGGGCTCAAGCATAACAACGATTATGAGAATGGAGCAGGACCAGGCAGTGTTTCGTTCTGTTGTACATAGGGTTGCTATGAGTCGGAACCAACTCAATGGCACCTAACAACAACAACAATGACTAATGATGTGGTGCTGGCAAAGATTACTGAATATACCATGGACTGCCAAAAGAACAAATCTGTCCTGGAGGAAGTACAGGTAGAATGCTCCTTAGAAGCAAGGATGGTGAGGCTATGTCTTACATACTTTGGACATGTTGTCAGGAGGGATCAGTCCCTGGAGAAGGTCATCATACTTGGTAAAGTAGAGGGTCAGCAAAAAAAGAGGAAGACCCTGGACAAGATGGATTGACACAGTGGCTGCAACAATGGGCTCAAATATAGCAATGATTGTGAGAATGGTGTAGGACCAGGCGACATTCGTTCTGTTATATGTGAATTCGCTATGAATTGGAGCTGATTTCTACAGCACCTAACAACAGTAATAATGACTAATGATGTTGAGCATCTTTTCATATGCTTTGTGTGTCTTCTTTGGTGAAGTGTCTATTCAGATTTTTTGCCTATTTTTTAATTGATTTGTTTGTCTTCTTATTATTGA